ATAGAGGAAAATATAAATAATTTGAAAGTGTTGTACTCGGAATAAAGTATTATTTTCATATTAATATTGCACCATGTTCATATGAATATATTAATAATGTTACGGTGAGTTTGGAATGTTGTGAAACTCTAACTGAACACTATAGTGGTAAGGCTTCGATCGAGGTGTGGCAGACTTGGTCCGATTAACTAGGGTCAATTAGAGTTCTAGACTACGTAATGAGTCTCTTAATACTAAATCTCGGGATCTGGGCACTAATTCCTATCGTTAATACAGATTTTACTTATCAGGGGCCTAAGTAAACAAATGCGAAGCAAAATACAATGATGAAAACGTGTGATAGCGTATAAACTCTAAGCAAAGCCTCAGAGAAAGTATGTCAAAGGTTCTTTTAAATCACCTTCAAAAGCAACTCTCTAAAGGAATAGTTTGAGTAAGATTGGTTACGACACTTTTGTGCGAGGTAGGGGTACTACATAAGATAAATTATTATTGACCAATTCTCAACATAGTCACACCTCTGGTGAGTTGTTTTATCCCCGTTTTCCCTTAAATTCATTTGAGAAACCGATGAACGTTGTGAAAGGGTAAATCGTAGTTCGTAATGGACTTTTCTATTGTTGGTGGATTGGATACATATTAGATTTAACCAATCGGGTGAATTTGGGTCATTTCGTATGCTGAGGTGGCTCAGATCGAACCTAGCCAAATTATCTAATATGGAAGAAGTTCAATTTTATTGATTATCCCTTAGGCCTTTCTGCCGAGGGTCGACAGGCTTCATGCGTCATAACTCATAAGTCTAAATTTTATTGGCTAACTACATGGTGTAACGCGTAAAAACTTACTAATACATTTTTTATGAAATAAAATAGCACAACTAATAAATTTATTGCAATAAATTGAATTAATATCACTATCAATATCAAATTTTTTATATTTTATAATCATTTCATTATCAGATTTTAAAACGAAATAACACAACCAATAAATTTGCTGCTATGAATTAAATTAATAACACCATCAATATCAAATACTTTAAATTCGGGTCTAATAGGAAATCCCGACATCCAAAATCTCGACAGGCCATAATACTGACATCACTCGACGTGAAAATTAAAAATTTAAAGTCTGACAATGATTGTAATGTGATTACTAATCTTTAAATATTATTTTCATGTCGCGTGATGTCAGCATTATGGATTTTTGAAAGTTAGGATTTCCTAGACCCTTTAAGTTCTATCATCATTTCATTATCAAAATTTAAAAATTCAGCCAAAATTTCTGCATTATTTTTCCAATTTAAAATAATTCTATAAATCTTTAAAGCGGTTGGACGCTTTTCTGGATCTTCATTCAACAATTATACAATAAAGGTAGTTGTACGATGTAGTCGTGCTCAAACCAGGAACACCTTACTGGCTTTTTTTTTACGTAATTATTTTTTTAGTGTTAATTAGTTGTTTTAATTGATTTTTTTTTTTATTCCTATTTATTCTACTTCTTTATATTTTATTAATTTTTTTTTATTTTAGTTTGCTCTATTTTTTTTAAAAAAAAAAATAATTGCATATAACTTCGTTTGATATACATGATGTGCCAAATATCCATCGTTTAAGACGCCTTTCTTGACGTTTCGAAATAAAGTTTAATAAAGAACGCTACTTTGTGAATGGCTGCTATTTCAATTGGTCATTCCAACTATCAATAATATGTTTCAATATTTACATATTCAACTTTACCCAATTATATTGCCGGATTTGCACACTTGCCATTCTAGTTACGTAGCAGTTAATCATTCACTTCGTAATTGCCTACTACGTTCCTGGTAATGATATAACTAAAAAGCAATAAATCAGGTGTTGAGCAAAAAAATTTTTTCATATGCTTACTTTGTCATCGTTGTTATTTTATTACTTATTATGAAGATCTTTACTACATTATCATGTCAAAGTTATTACACTAATTGTCAGTAATCGATTACATTATTTTTTACATTATCGCATTCCAATTACTACATATTTTGTAAATATACATTTTCACCTTTGATTCTCTTATCTCATAATATGTAATTAAGCTTATAGATATAAGCATATATAATGTATCGTTCTCTAGAAAGGTGTAATAACGGGTTCGCACAGCATCTCTAATAAATGCATAACTTATGCTGCGCCCAAAACTAATTTGCTATACCAGATAATTGCTTTCCCAATTTTGGGCGTAACACAGGTCTGAGTCAAATTCCTGTAATTCCGGTCAATTTTTGTCGAGGTTTTATTTGATCCAGATCCCAATAAACCAATTTTTCACTTATTATAAAACGCAGAAATACAACTTAACTTAAAAATAGCAGAACCGATTACTTATAACTCTGCGTATGGACGAATTTTTTCGATTTGGTGATTATTAAAAATTTATGATAACATTTTATAAAATTTAATCCAATCATTTATGTGATATTGTAAGATTTCCGGCAAAATAGAATTGATATTGTTTGATCTCTTGTATTTGATTGGTCAATTGCTCACCTTGATTATTAATCCGCTTATGAATCGGTTTATGAAACCGCATAATAATTATAAATCATCATTGTATTTAATTGGTCAGTTGCTTTTCTTAGTTGTAAATTGATTATGAAACTGATCATGAATCCGCATAATATTAAATCATTACGTATATCACTTAATTTTAATCACAACACTCACATCAAAAGTTTTAGCCCATACGGGCCAGATTCAAAATCAAAAAAGTTTGAACTTGGCAAAACGATCGGCAAATTTGACCAAAGTTATAAATAGTTGGTTCTACTATTTAGATCACAATCAAAATTATTGACTTTTATAAATATTTCAATATTAAAACTATCTAAACCTATCTTGAAGCACTAATTAAAAATGTCGGGGGAGTAATTTTACCTATAGTACTTGCTATATCCTTAACCTCGAACTAATTTAATTGCTGCTTTCCAAAAAAAGGAAATCGAAAAATGGGTTGGTAATATCGGTGTTACCATCTAGGTTGGGAGAGCAATATGCAAACATGCACAATTTAGCCCTGATGGTTAACGGGTGATAAATACATAATAAATGCTTATAGAGTGTATTAGTGAAGGATTTCAAGACATCTAGTTATCCTCCCTCTTTATTAAGGTCTCAAGGTCTTACTTAAATACATGATTTTGGATGAATATTTATGCTTTTACATTCGTACTAGCAGATCTTGAATGAATGCTCTTTCATACTAAATAAAAATTACAGCACCTACTAATGTACATCATAACATCGGTCATAATTTATAGAAGTCGATAATTTAAGAAATAGAGTATTTGATTTCGTTCGTGCTATACATGATTATATACATGACTATACATACATCGGATAGAAAATTTAAAATCATCACTTTAATGTAACGTAGCTACCGCTATGTACAGTATATAGTAGTTTTTAAATTTCCTGCTCTGTACGTACGTTGTAACGGAGTAATATGACCTAGCCGCAGTTATGAAAATGCGGATTGATCGACAAAGCGAAGATACTTAATAATGCTAATTCGGGGCGATGCTCCATTGAAAGGTGTCGCTGGTATTCACATGGTGGGAACTAAAGTCATTGTCATGAAAATGGGTATGAATTGCTTATCGTTAGTATAGATTCCCCCCGACACTCTAAACAGCTATATTAACGTAGTAGCAAAGTCCCAATGTTGTTCATAATGTATAAAGCTCATTGATTTTTCATGTAACTAACGGGCAGATAGATAATAAGCAAATAAAATCAATAACGACTACCTAATCCGAAGATCCTAATGGCAGTAGGACCCTTGGTTCTCAGACCAAATCTTCCACGTCTTCTTTCGAGTAGTCTAGTCTTTGTTGTTATTTAGGTTACGGGAACCAAATCCGACTTTTACAACGTATATACGCAACTGAAGTTACAACTGCTAAGAATCATGATATTTTTTTTAATCCGGTGATCGGTGCCTCTGAAATTGCGTCATGCATTCCACTAACTTTAATTGGGGAACAAATCAATTGACGATTACCCATCTCTATTAATTTAAATACGCCTGCTATCACTATGATTACATGTTCAGGTTCAATAATAATGCCAGATATCTTCTCTGAAATTCCTTACGAAATTGTAGTCAAAATTCTTACTTTTTTACCTGCAAAAGATCTTTGTTCCATTTCTTTGGTATATTAAGAATGTTTCTATAAATATATTGATACAGTGTTGATACAAATAACATTTGCCTACATTTCTATTTTTTTCCTATTGATCGTAGGTTAACAAAAATCTTTTGTCATTCACCCAAGATGATTACGTTTGGCAATCAATTTGTATTAGTCAATTTCCTGCAAGTCGTATTTCTGAGGAACGAAAAAAAATGATCAGAAAGGAGGCTACATCACGTGTTCAAAATACGAGCGATACAGGCAATCAATCAGATCAAAATGGGAGCAATTATTCAGATCAAGAAATTTTTAAAGAATCAGGTCAAGATTTTTTTGAGGAATCAGAATCAGATCAATATTTTTCTGAGGAATCAGATCAAAATATTTTTGAGGAATCAGATCAGGATATTTTTGAGGAATCAGATCAGGATAATTTTGAGGAAATCATTTTTATTTCTAACTTGGGTCCTTCAGTAGAAAATAACAATGATGTGACCGTTAGTGAATGGAAAAGACTTTATAAGAGGCTGTGTAAGTCATTAGTCATGTTTATTGCACGGGTCATATTAGTACTCTACAGGCTCGGATAATAACATAGTTCTATGATTTATTTTATCCTTGCTCGTAAATTAATCATACCACATTATTATGTAAACTTAATAACCGTGAATCCATGACATTCATTTATTATGTTTAGCCAGACATATTAATTTTATTGCCGAAGAACGGGGCGTCACCTGGTTAGATTGTCAAGAACATGGAGGAAAAAATTACCATTGGCGAACCATCAAAGATTCGCAAAGGTATGTAAGTCTTCATTTAACATTCTCTACATTTTTTACTGATGTATTCGCTTATCTTGCATTATTTACAAATAGTGAATTTGGAAAAGTTGTTTTTTTAAAATATGTTTGGTGGTTTGAGGTGAGTACACTATTTTCCCAACTTGTGACAAAACAACTTTTAATTACGGTCGTACTAAAGAAAAAAAAATCTAAAGGTTTCGTCGAACCTAAAGGCCGTTCTACCTGGTACATACGACGTTGTATGGCGATTAAAAATTAAAGGAAATAACAGCTGGTCCATTCAAGGTTTAAACTTCAGCACAAAAGTTATCGAGAGAGTAAGTTTTGATTTTCTTAAATGTCTTGTTTTTTCTTTTTTTATATATAGTTGCATACATGTAACATTCGCATCTTAATATTATTTATATATAAACAGTTAGAAGATGAAATTGATGCTGAAACTGCTATTCATGATGAAAAACTTTATAACCACACTCCACATCGTTCATTGTACACTAATATTGCCCGCAAAAATGAGTGGGTCGAGTATTGTTTACCTTATAAAATTGTTATACCTGAGCGAAAAGTTGTTGATGGTAGAATGGTATATCATGACGTTCATCTCGAAATTTACAATCATTCAAGTTACTTAAAAACTGGCTTGGTATGTTTCAGTGCTATTATTTTGCATGTGGATCATTTTTATATTTTTATTAATTAATTTGTCTAACTTTTTTTTAAAAGTGGATTGATTATGTTAGATTGAGAGAACATGATGAGCGCAGAGTTTATGAGTAATTTGAAGATAAAATTAGCATACACTCCACGAATCATATTCCTTTGCACTAAATGTGAGGTGACCTTATCCAAGCCAAAATTTTGATTTTTGCTGATTATAGGCTTCGGTGATAGTTTAATTGTTTGTTTATATATTTTAAAAAAGTTTTTTCACCGCCGTTTCTATCTCTAAGTACTTATTACAATTAAGGGAATCAGTATTCGTACCACATATTTTGCATTGTTCTTCTAATAAAACAAAATCTTTAAAAGTTTAAATATTTCAGCAACCATCTAAATTTTATAAAAATCATTTTAATTATGAAGTTAAATAATTTTTTTTTAAATCTGAACATAGTTGAAATATATTCGTTAAAACTTTTTTATGAAGCTTAATATTTATTATAAAAAGTGTTTGAATAGTGGGGCTAGTATTCGTACGTTGATTCTCACTTTCCCGAAAAACTATTTCCGTGACATCACATAGGGTTAGGGTTACTTGTGCTAGTTGTAGATACGTATTTTTAGCAAATTGTCATCTGTGTGATATCGGGTAAGTGACATGTTGGGGAAATAGCTTTTGGGAAACGTACGTACGTACGTACTGTTAAATAAATTAGACTTACATTTTGCTGACAATAATCGCCTAAAATAAAATCGCAGTTTGTTAGCATAAATTCAGGTAGGCTTAAAGTGAATTATACGGGTAAGATGTGTAATAAATTTTAATAAGAGAAATTTCTCAAAAATATATTAATACTGTATTATAGTTCAAAAAAAATTTTTTTTTAAAGATCCTAATGATTATAAAGCTGTTGTAATTCGAGATCAGTAATCCAATGCCTTCACAATGCGGATTATTTTACTTTGAAATTGAAATTATAAATGAAAGAAAAATGGGTATTAAATAATATATAGTTATTGGATGCGAAGCATCCAATAACTTTGAGTTATTTGGCAAGCCCGATCATAGTCAGATGCCGGATAATTTATTTTTATTTATCAAATATATTTTATTTTAATTTTTTAATACTGTATATTTTTTTTCACCTTTTCTTTAATTGGTAAATGAATACCGATTCTAAATGACCAATTCATTTCACGATTTACGAATGACACGTGCCAATTCCGACCTAAATTCCGTAACGACGTGAGACATAAACATGAAGCATTATTGCTTCAAGTATAGCCATTAAAAATATGCATATTTATTTTATTTTAAGAATTCTTTATTGTTTTGGAATTATCCCATCATCGCCCAAAAGATTTATGATAAATTAATTAAACAGATTTCGAATTACAAATATTCCTTATCCACATGAATAATGTTTGATTGATGCTTGATTAATGTTGAATAATGCTTGAATAATTATGGAAAGAATTTTATGTACTCGGTCTTTTATCGCTAAATAGCGGCATCGGAAACCCCAAAAAAATTGGTTAATTTAAAGTTTAAAATGAAATGCAGTATTTTCTTCTTTTGGATAGTTAAACCCGACATTGTAAATGTCGGCTTTCACTATCCCACTCGACCTTAAATTTTAAGATTTTACAGCTGTTTTCATAATTCCTGGGACACCTGTAAAAAATTAGCCGAATGATTTTCGGCCGATCCGGTTAATT